ATATTCCACTGCAGGCTGAGAGGAATGGAGTTTTATGTCTGAGGCAAACACAGTGGAAGAAAAAGAAGTCTTGCCAATGTTTGTGTAGCCTTGCCTGCCTGATGTCCTGCAACCCTAGTACTGGGATTTGCATCGTGTGCCAGAACTTGATGAGAATGATATTTCAAGATCAGCTCAGAGCGTGGGTGGATCCTGCTCCAAGACATCATTTTTTCTGACTTGAACTAGAATTTACTTATTGGAGAGTCTATTTACACTGCTGGTAGGCTTTTGTGTGCTAAGGACCAGGTTAAAATAAATGTTATAAGGAGTAGAGGCAAGCCAGGGCAATCAATTTAATAACTGTGACAATCCTGGGGCACCTCTGGAGTCCATCCCATCAGAGCAGTAATTAACTCCCTATTATTTATGATAAAGTCAAGTACTTGATGTGAGTGAAAGACGTAGGAGAGTTTTGACTGACAGCCTTCCATTATCACAGGCTGCAAAGGAATTTGTAGAGTTGTCAAGCAGGAGATACCCGGCGTGTTGGATTTGTCAAGCAGATGTCATCATATCTGTCTGATTGCTGGGATTGTGGGGTTTACAACTCAGGAGCATTCCTCCACCTCCAGGAGCACTGGCAGCTCTTCCTCAGCCTGGAAGATGAGCTGGCACAAGGGCTGGTTGTTGGGTCCATGCCTGGATGCACCACAGCATCCCGTGGGTCTGCTGAGCTCCCATCCCAAACAGGGAAGGATTTGAGCCCACCAAACTGCTGCTCCCTTAAAAAAAACAGAGTGATTCACACTATCAATACCTCAGTGACATTTTCATTAACTTCAGGATGTGCAGAGTGCACAGAGCTCCCTGCAGAATCCCCATCATGCTGCTGTCCCCTGCGTGGTGAGTTAATGCCACGTGGTGCATCCCCAGCGCGCTCACTCAGAGTTTATTCCTGATTCTGACGAGGTCAGCCCACGATGCACAGGCTTGTTTTGGAAGCTGATTTGAGTCATCCCAAATATTTGCTGGGGAGCTGCTGTCTCCCCACCTGCGTGGGTGAGCCCTGCAGCTGCTCAGCAATCCTGGGAAGCACCCATGGCATGGGATCCCAATGGGATTGGGAAGCCCCAGCTCTCAGTCATCCTACACTGGCTGCTGTCTCTTCCAGGCTGCAGGGAAAAAAAAACCCTCACTCAGGTTTCTTTTTGTGTGCAAAATTAACAAAGATGGCAGTGAGAACATTCTTTTTAACTTGAGGTCTATGGAGAAGAACTCTGGGAAAATGGGAACACACCCTAATAAACAACAGTTCTGGTATGAGTGTGATTGCTTTAAAAGCTGTGCACTACTGGTTTGTGCTTCCCAGGTAGTTCCTTTGAGATTAATTAGTGCAAGATTGTTTGCTAATCTTGTGTCAGGGAGGAAGTTTGGAAGAAACAGCCACTACTGACCTCAAAGTTCTGGATTCTAGGAAAACCTGAAGCAAATATATTTAAAATAAAGTGTACTTCTCTCTTTAATTCTCTTTAGACCAGTGCTGTTTCCCTGAGTTGGAAAGTGACATTTGAAAACTGCTGATGGAGATGAGAAATCTTGGAAAGAGTTTGTCATAGATATCACATGGAAATGGAGAGAAACTTCAGTGTGTTGATGCTAAAGCATTTCCATGGGAGGAGGACACAAACTGAATGGAGTGATATTTTCTGTGATTCCAGGCCCGATAAATAAGGAAAGCACAGGGAGCACAGTGCAGCATCTCCCCACTAGAATCTGAGAAAAGCAGGCTAAAAATAAACGGTTTGGAGATAAATACTCTGTATTTATGTGCTGAGCACTGGAGGCTGTTGCTGGCCCTTTGTAGCTGTTGGTTGCAGCAGTGAAAATCACACGCTGAGGGAGTGTCTGAACACCACGAGGCTTCAGCACCAGCCCTGAAATTACCAAGTATTTTTAGAAGGTATTTTACATCACAGAGAACCCATTGGATGTCCATTGGTTTGCTCAGAGAGGCTGTGGATGCCTCAAACCACGTTCAAGGCCAGGTTGGATGGGCTTGGAGCAGCCTGGGACGGTGGGAGGTGTCCCTGTCATGGCAGGGGTGGCACTGGGTGAGATTTAAGGTCCCTTCCAGCCCAAACCATTCTGGGGTTCTATGAAAATCAATCATTTCAATCAATCAATCATTAGGATCTTCCTAAGATCCTACCACAGACAGCAGGGGTGGGCACCTGGTCACATGAGATGTTACGAATTCAAACCAGCAATTCTCTAGAAAGCATTCCATAAACCCCAGAATTCTGGACACCACAAAGGCAAGGAAACCCCACTGCTCCCACCATTCACAGAGACTTTCTGGTTGCTCCCTAAGCTGGGAGTGTTTTTAACCAGGTTGCTTGCCATGGTTTCTGTTCACCACCCCAAATGATGGAGGCACATTATTAACCTGAAGATTTCAGCTGAAAGCTCCTCCAGGGTCCAGAAATTCATGGAGAGAGCACCCAAGTGCTTTAGGAGGAAAAGACCACTGAGAAGACAACAAGGGAATATTAACAATATTTGTTTTCCTCCATCAGTAATCACTTCCCTCCAAATTACCACTAAAGAAAGCAATTCCAGAGCAGAGATTTTGAACAGCAGTGGAACCATAACAACCAGGGAATGTTATTTAATTACACAGCCATAACAATGCCCAGCATTTCAGCAGCCTTACAACATAAGTCTTAGTTCAGTAACTTTTAGGGTTTGTTAGTCTTTGCCTTACCATGCAGTTGTATCATCCAGGTGGTTATCTCTACAAGGTTTAAATTTCTGATCTATTAAAGCAATCTTAGCAATCTATTATTTCTAGGCCATTGAGGGAAGGTTAAAATGAAAATTACACTGGAGGGAGTAAGTTCTGTTCCAAGTACAGGCTGAAAACATCTCAGAAGTGGAAAGCAGTAAGGTTTCAGTGGAAGAAGGGAAATGAAATGACTGATAACAGTCATTTAAAGTGATTTAAAGTGATTAAAGCAGCTTGAGAGAGGTAATGTGAAAAGATTTTTTTCCCCCACTAATGTAATGGGGAATTTTCAATGCATGATTTAGACAGCTCCTACCTCTGAGCTGTTTTTGTACAACTGAGTTAGGTTTTAAGCACTACATTACAGGAATGGAAAATCTCATTTTCAGGAGCACACAAGAGGAGCAGCATCCATCTCCACACAGCCATGCACCCAATTTAAATAGAGCTGTGTGGCACGGGAGAAGCAGAAAATAGAAATATTTGGGAACAAGACTGAACCCAGCTGAAGAAAGATTCTTTGACATTAAGACCTCATGGACCCCAGCTGGATAAATCACAACTTTTATCCAAGTAGCTGTGATGGGCAGAATCACAGACTGGTTTAGGTTAAAACTCACCTCATTCCAACCCCAGCCACGAGCAGGGACACCTTGCACAGAAGCAGATGTGCCACAGACATAGCAATGCTCTGTTTTGGCCAAGCTGAGTGTCATTTATCTAATTTAAATTATCTAATTTCCCCCTGTTCCTGCCAGTGAGATAAATCCCAGGAACAAAACCCATGTGTACCTGTTGGTACAGCAACAGCAGCAGCAACACAACCTTGAATAAAAAACCCTTTAACACCAGGTCTGTTTATTTTTTTTTTTTTTTCTAGAATAGCAGCAGTTGATTTTATTAATTTTTATGGTGCTATTGGGAAATTTAATAGTCCTATAAAAGCCAGTTTAAAACTTTCTGATTGTCTTATCTCTTCAAACAAATGCATACTCTGGGAATTAAAAAAGAAAAAAAAAAAGAAGAGCATCAACTGGATAGGGCCATTACTATGAATAATTTCCCTCTTACTCAACTCCAGAGCCCTGACACAATACACAAGAGCCTCCATGGGCTTTTTTGGGGGGGGGATATGCCAAAGCTGACTAAAAAGGGTGTTTTGTTCCCTGCCCCCTGCCTGCTGAGGGCTCCCTGGGAGCTGCCACGTGTGCAGAGCAAATGGCAAGGCACCGAGGGCTCCTGTCAAGCCAGGGGTTGCACAGCCAGTTGTTGGAAAACAAACAATTCAGTCATTTGATGGATTTTCACCCAGTGAAACTGGTGAGGGGCTGCTGGGGATGAATGGCACGCACTCAGTGAGAGGAACAGCCAGGCTGGGGCCACTGCAGGTGAGGCAGGAGGAGGTGGAGGTGAGGGGAGGTTTTGAGGGTCCCAATTTAGGCAGAGGGAAGAGGGAAATGGACGTTTCATGAGAGTGGGGTGTGACATTTCTGTGTGCCCTCAGAAATGTCACTGTGCTCATACAAGGGCTTGATGCACTGTGATTTGTAACAAATGAAGTGGCAGGTCAGAAGTGAGCAGTAGAGATGTGTCTGTATCTGCAATTTCCCTGTACAACGTGCCACAGACACACAAGAGGGTGTAAAAATCCCATTTTCTCCTTTTCACTTTATATAACCACAAAGCTACACCATACAGGTATCCACTAAGTGAAAATTACTGCCAGGCCTGTTTGGCTGCTATTTTTGTGCCATTCTGATCATTTCAAAAGAAAACCAAGCCTTTCTAGCTCGCCCCTTCTTAAAACACACAGCAGGCAGAGTGGTCCAGCACCATCCCAGCATGTCCCAGCTCATTCCAGGATGTCCCAGTCAATTCCAGCATGTCCCAGCTCCATCCCAGCATGTCCCAGTCAATCCCAGCATGTCCCAGCTCATTCCAGCATGTCCCAGTCAATCCCAGCATGTCCCAGCTCATCCCAGTATGTCCCAGCTCCATCCCAGCATGTTCCAGCTCATCCCAGCATGTCCCAGTCAATCCCAGCATGTCCCAGCTCCATCCCAGCATGTCCCAGCTCATCCCAGTATGTCCCAGTCAATCCCAGCATGTCCCAGCTCATCCCAGCATGTCCCAGCTCATCCCAGCATGTCCCAGCTCCATTCCAGTATGTCCCAGTCAATCCCAGCATGTCCCAGTCAATCCCAGCATGTCCCAGCTCATCCCAGTATGTCCCAGCTCCATTCCAGCATGTCCCAGTCAATCCCAGCATGTCCCAGTCAATCCCAGCATGTCCCAGCACCATCCCAGCATGTCCCAGCTCCATTCCAGCATGTCCCAGTCAATCCCAGCATGTCCCAGTCAATCCCAGCATGTCCCAGCACCATCCCAGCATGTCCCAGCTCCATTCCAGCATGTCCCAGTCAATCCCAGCATGTCCCAGTCAATCCCAGCATGTCCCAGCTCCATCCCAGCATGTCCCAGTCAATCCCAGCATGTCCCAGCTCATCCCAGTATGTCCCAGCTCCATCCCAGCATGTTCCAGCTCATCCCAGCACGTCCCAGCTCATTCCAGTATGTCCCAGTCAATCCCAGTATGTCCCAGCTCCATCCCAGCATGTCCCAATCAATCCCAGCACGTCCCAGCTCATCCCAGCACGTCCCAGCTCCCTCCCAGCATGTCCCAGCTCATTCCAGTATGTCCCAGTCAATCCCAGCATGTCCCAGGACCATCCCAGCATGTCCCAGCTCATTCCAGGATGTCCCAGCTCATCCCAGCATGTCCCAGCTCCATCCCAGCATGTCCCAGCTCATCCCAGTATGTCCCAGCTCCATCCCAGCATGTCCCAGTCAATCCCAGCATGTCCCAGCTCCATCCCAGTATGTCCCAGTAGCCACTCCAGCATTCTCAGGGCTCACCACCTCCCTGAGTGCCCAGTCTGCTGCAAACAGGGTTTGTTCCCCATCTCCTCAGGACAGGGTTTCTCACAGATCACGTTTCCATTGAGTTATTCTTGGTTCTGGCAATGCCCTTCACAGCTGCAATTTTATCAGAGGTAAATGAGACTTTTGAGGCAGAGCCTATAATGAGGAGGTTTTGCCTTCTGGGATCATCTCTGCTGCTGACAGAAGCTCTAAGATGGATGTTTTACGCTCTCCTGCGTGAGGGAGAAAATGAGAATGAGAGCAGCAGATCTTGAATGGGGTTTCTGCCTTCCTCCATGAGCTCAAGCAGCTCCTCACAATCCCCTCAGGCTGGTGCCAGGGTGGTTCTGCTGTGGGCTGGAGATGGAGGGAGGGGGAAGGACACGGGGCAAGGAGGTGGCCGAGTTCTGGAAGAGAAGGTCCCAGGCTTGCTCTGCGTCCTCCAGATGTCCTGAAGTGCTCACAGATCACCTTCTCCCCATACACTTGTATTTTACATTTTATTTTCTACTTTTGATTCTACTTTTAAGTTACTATACTTCCACTTTTTAACCTAAAAGAGGATTGATTTAGGTTAGATAGAAAGAGGAAATTTTTCACAGCCAGATGAGGTGGCACAGGGTGCCCAGAGCAGCTGGGGCTGCCCCTGGATCCCTGGCAGTGCCCAAGGCCAGGCTGGACACTGGGGCTGGGAGCAGCCTGGGACAGTGGGAGGTGTCCCTGCCATGGCAGGGGTGGCACTGGATGGGATTTAAGGTCCCTTCCAACCCAAACCATCCTGTGATTCTCTGCTCTACCCCAAACCTCCACTGGACAGGAATAAATTGGTTTTGGCCCAGTTGTGTAAATACTTAAGATGCTGTTCTCCCTCCTTCAGCCTCCTCTGCATGCTGAGCATGCAACAGGCAGATAGAAGCTCCATTTTGATTTTATTTTTTATTTTTTTCAGAATGAAAGACACCATCTGTGCCATATCCTCCTGTTTATGTCTGCTGCATCTCTGCAGGCTGGAACCACTTGTGGCAGCCACAACAGAGCCTCTCCAGCTGATGAACTTCTGGGTTTGGGTTTTGATTTTCCTTTTTTCTCACATAATAGCTCGGAGAGAAAGAATTTCCAGTTGCAGGGCTATTTCTGAAAGCGTGCTCGGCACCTGAAATCTTGCCTGAAAGAGAAGGTGTAAAGTCCACAATACCCAAAGGCAGAGTCCTGATGAATTCCTGACAGGGAGGAATTCATCCATCAACCTGGGGAAGACTCTGTACCTCTCTTCCAGATAATTGAACTTTAATTTATTTAAATTTAATGGAAAACCATATGGAGAGGAACAGAAAGCTAATTTAAAGCACTGCTCAAAGCAATCAATATGTTAACAGATTCCTTCAACATTTTACACTCGGTTGCTGAAAAATGTTTAAAATGTATGGTTTTTTTTTAATTAGTATTATGAAAACACAGGATTTCTGGCATGTTGTATTCAAAACTCAAGAGCCAAAATAAGCCTCTGTTGTGAAAATTGAAATATACACTGGAAGCACAAATCATTTTATTGGAAGTGGAAGTGACAACTGTTTAATATTTTACCAAAAAATCCACATCTCTGAAGACTTCTAGGAAGACACCTATAAATCCTGAGGGCTCACATCACTGGGTTTCTTATGGCCCTGAAATAAAAGCAGTAAATTAGTTGTAGGAGTTGCATTAAGAGATTGAAGTTGGCAGGAAGAACACACGAAGGAGCAGTTCAGTGTAAATGGATTAAACACAAATTAAAGCAGAGGAATGCAAAATTTCCAATTATGCACATCAAAATTTTAATTATTTTCATATTTTCCTGATTCCTTTGATGCTTCTCAAGGTCAGTTCTTTTCATTCTGGCTTTTGAAAACAAGTTTTTTTCAATGGCAGGATAATTAACACTCTCTTTCTACTCTTAAATGTTGATCTCCTACCATTGACCATGTTCTGCCCCACAGCCAAATGCTTTTTTATTTAAGGTACAACTTAATTTACTTTTATATTAAAAAAAAAAAAACATATGTGTAGGCAATTTAAGGTCCTAGAAAAGAATAAATGTCCCAATTCTATTTTATCTTATAAAAATACAAGGGTTTAATGATGACAGTGATTCTTATACCTGCAGTTTGTAATTTTCATTATGGTTTCATCTTTGTCAAGCTCCAAGAGTGCAAGCTGTAAAAATAAGTGAAAGGTTCTTTCAGAAGGTTTAATAACTTGGGCTTGGTTAAGAAGGCTGGAATCTGAAAGGAGCAGCAACTCCCTGCCATGAAATTTCAGCAACCCGAACAAAGTCTTATGGAAATTCCATAAATAGATTTCAGTCAAACCTCATTGAGGGCAGGTCTGACTTTCCTGTGGCTTTTTTAAAGAGCAAATTATTTTAAGCACCCTTTTCGAAAAGTTTATTTTCCCCTTTTGGTAGGGAAATGATCCTGCAGCCTTTTTCATGTCAGATTTGCCAAGTCCTCTCCCAGAAACTTATTAGCATGATGGCTCAACTTTGCAGAGACTAATAGCTCCAATGGAAAAAGAGCAAATAATGGCTAAAATATCTTCTGGTTTATATTTTATTTTATTTTATTTTATTTTAATGTTATTTTACTTTATTTTAATGTTATTTTATTTTATTTTATTTTAATGTTATTTTACTTTATTTTAATGCTATTTTATTTTATTGTTATTTTATTTTATTTTATTTTATTTTATTTTATTGTTTTATTGTTATTTTACTTTATTTTATTGTTATTTTATTTTATTTTATTTTATTTTATTTTGTTTTGTTTTATTTTATTTTATTTTTTACAATGCAATATTAATTCATTTTTTTTGTATCTTTTGCCCCCGGATTTTCAACCTCTTGGCATAGTCCTGACTATAGAAAAACAGACAATTAAAATGCTGAGGTCCTGCAAACTCTGCTTATTTCTTGCAAGATCAGTGTAAAAGTAAATGGTGGATGCCAAATAAAAACGAGGGGCTCTTTTAAATAAAATGCATCATAAAACTGGTCTAATTAAACAAAATTTGTCTTTCATTGGCCAGTCTGCTTGAAGGAATTTCTCTTACAGTGGAATGTGGAGGAGCTGGAAATTGCACTTTCTATGAGCATTTTAAGTCCCTGTGAAGTAAATCTGAATGATCAGCAGGAAAAAAACCTTAAAGCCACTAAAATTGCAGCCAGGTTCCAGAACAGGTGGGAAGGGAGGTGAGAGGTGCCCTCTGATGCTCAGGGTGGGACCCTCCCTGACTCCAGGTGCAGCTGCAGGGATGCTCCCTCCTGAGCTTTCAGACCTTTGACCATCCTGGAAATGTTTCTGAGCCCACCTATAGAATATTTCTGGGATAATATAGAATATTTCTATATCACACCCCTCCAAGTACCCCAGCTCAGAGTGGGACCAGCCCCTGCTGATTTGTAGGAACACAACAAAGCCTCCTCCCATCAGAAGGTTCTCGTGGTCCTTCAAGCAACCAGAACTCAGAAGAACAGAAATATTTAATAGCCTGAAAATGATTAAATCAAAATTCATTGACAACTACTCAGCAAATATCCTTTCATCTCCCTGTGGGCAAAACCATAGTTCAAAACCTTTAATTTCTGATTTAAGACTCCTTCTGTTCTGTTACCAAATCCCACCCAGAAAGCTGCCAAGATGCTTAGGTTCCTTCTCCCAGCATTATATTTGATGGAGGGTTTCTAAATTTCAGTGTAGTGATTAGAGACCTTCTAATTCCACACTTAAATATATTCAGGGCACATATATATAAATATATTACATATATATATATATATATATATATATATATATACACACATACGCATTTGATCTTATCCTACCCTTCCACTCAGATAATTCTTCTGGTTATCCCCAGATGATTTTTAGAGAAAATAATCATTTTCTTCTTGGTCTTTAATCTCCTGATTTCTGTGTGATATCTGAGTAGCTGAGCTGGGTAAGCCACAGGACTCAGCTGCAGCACGTGAGCCCCTGTGCTGATTTTCCTTTACACCCATCCTGCAGTTCTGGTGGAGCAGTGCCCACCTTCACTGCCCTCCTCGAAGTTTTGTGGAAAATTTGTGGCAGTGGCAAGGGGCAAACAGAGACAGAGCATTGCTCTGTTTGCTGAGCAGATCCCCCTAATTTATGAAATTAGCAGTGTTGAGGGGCTGAAATGATGAAAGGAGCAGGCAATGAGATGGTAAGCAAGTATTTCACCTGGGATTTCAAGGGCTTGCTCATGAGCTAGACTGGTGTTTGAATTTTTATGCAGTGAGCAGTGATTTATTTTATTGACTTGAGTCCTCTCAGAAGTCTACACCCAAACTTTGAGAGTCCTCTAACTTGAGACACCTGGCTTTGGAAATGATTTCATGGCAGAAGCCTCAGTGGCCATCATTTGGGGTGGGCATTGAAGTGGTTTCAAAGCCCACAGGTCTCCTGTTTGGTTTTCTTCAGCCCCCTCAGAGCTTGGCTGTCCACACATGGAGCACAGGGCACCCGTGGGGCTTGGAATGGGGAAAGGACCTTGGAGAGCAAAATTCCTGATGGCCAAAGGCCCCTGGAGGCTTTCCCTGCCTCTGGAGCAGCAACAGTGTGCTGTGGGGGTGAGCAGAGGCTCTGGTGCAGGGCCAGGGAAGCAGATTCCAGCCGGGAATGAGGAGCTGTGCACACAGGAGGGGCCTGGGGCAGGGATGGAGGAGCTGGGACCCCCACTCCCAGGTGGGAGCAGTGCTCCTGGAGATGTGGCAAAGCCATCTGAGCTCGCCTCAGCAGCTCCTGAGAGGTCCTCAGAATGCTCTGAGTTCATAAAACCACTGAAATCAGCTCTGATTTCACTCAGAATTCTGATTTCCGAGTCACTCAGAAGGTTTGGATGGCATCACACAGCGCTGCCAGGGACTTGCTGGG